AGTGGCCTCATGGACCCCCATGAATTCGGTTTCCAAAAAGGTTTAGGGGTAATGGACCCTCTATTTTATTTTGAACACTTTGTCTCTACAGCAATGTTAACCCGTAATCACATTTCCGTGTTAAGCTTAGACTTTGAAAAGGCCTTCGATAAAATAGGTGTGCATGTAGTACTTGATGAACTAAAGCGTTAGAAGGTTGGTACCTAAATCTATAACATAGTAAAATCCTTTTTGAGTCATCGTAAATTTTTTAATTCTGCTAATAAACATCATTCACAAATATGTCAGCTATATAATGGTCTAAAGCCGCACTAAAAATGTCCAATCATTTTTTACAAGATGGACTTTAGTCAAAGCACACGATAGGCTCGATAGTACCTCTTCTACGGTATTTAAGAAGTTAATCCCACTATAATTAGGGTAGATCATGGCGTCCCCTTTTTATAGATTGAGCAGAGCACATTAAAATTGTAATCGGAGATGGGTTCCCTTCGTAAATTCAGTATACTCTCGGTATCTGACACTAGATTAGTACTCTGGGTCCTACAAAAGTTTGCTCCGGTCTTGTTACTCTCTGTAAACCGTCGTATCTTTTCGTAAAATTTTCTAGCTTTGCCATTGTCGACCACCTTCTCAAGTTTTTCATAATCAAAGCTCGGTTGTCTTTTGCGTTTGCAGATTTTCGATGTCGAACCTTCCTTGTGTTTGTTAATGGGCATCTCTCCTGCATAGAGACGGGGGATATTTGTTACTACAGGATGGTGATTTTTAAACTATTTTCGGGGGTCGTTTTCAGAAGAGGATACCTCATCAGAGGCCTAATTAACTTTTTCATTGCAGCTGGCTTCTACGTGGCAAGTCCCAAACGCAGTGCGAATAAGTTCAAATATTTTACACATTTATGTAGCAAATATTTTATTATTTCATGTCATAAACACTCTTGGAGGGGTTGACATTCCCTGCCTTAACTTAATTCTTTATTTAAATTGATTTTCTACTTTTTATTAATGTTGGTCGAACCCGGATTATAACCCGGGCCTACCGAACGGTAATACGCAACGCTAACAACTCGGCTACTGCGACCGTTCAGACATTTTACTTAGTATAGACTGTAAACATCAAGACGCAAAACCACAAATTGGAGGAGGAGCTCGGCCGAAAATCGCTTCAACGGTTCCATATAGAATCCGTATCCGCCAACACAATTGTAGGTGCCTGAAACCAAAATAGTTTTAGCTTCCTGTATCAGAATTGGGAGACCTCCGGCCATATGCAAAATCAGTCTCTAACTACAAGATCGTACTTGATTCCTAGTCTGATGCATGGGAACTCGTTTGAAATGAGTACTTGAGTTATATTGGTTCATCTGGCCATGAATTTTGAATTTCTGCCCTTTATCTACAATACAATACTATCCTAGCAACGGATAACTGTCTTTCTTTGTAACAATGTTTAACCTCCGAAAGTCCATGAAGAACGGCAACTGATACTTCTTCACATGCACTACCGGAGGGTTCCTTTTACCTGTCGATGGTTCGATAACACCATTCTCACTCATTTAGTTTATTATTTGGCTCCCAACTTCATGATTGGCTAGTGGAATACTTCGAGGAATTTGACGTTTCGGCTTGCGTCACCAGTATTAATGGAATATTTGACAATGTTGGACCTGTATGGTTTTTTTTTCATCTTCATCTTTGACGATTATCTTTGAGATAAGTCGTCTGTTCTTATTCTGGCCTTTCAACTCTTTCGTCAATGCGTTTACGTTTTCTCAATGCCCTTCTTGCTTATGGTATCACCTTTGGAAATGCAGACGTTGTCCCAATACAAACTGTATTATTATTCGAGTTTATTCATTTAAGAACTATGGTCTGGATACTGTAGCAGGTAAAACTCCTACCAATCCGGATTCGACCAAAGCATACCCATCGTATGCCCGGCATGTGCAGAATCTCTGCACGACACTAACCACCTCTTGACATGAACCTATTAAGCCGACACATCCAACCCCACTCTCCCTTTGGTCCAATCCCGTCGAAACACCCATTAATGTCGCTAATAGCGTCAACCAATTCCCCAGTCAATCCAGCATATTTTTGTTTAGTCAGCCTATCAGAAAGCCAAAGAGCGACAAAAGAAAAATAAAAAAGAATAAATAAAAATCAATAGTAATTTAACGATTAACAAAAATAATTAAATAAATAAACAAATAATCAAAATTATAAGCAAGACAATATTACAAGCAAAATGAAAAACAAACAGTTTCAATGCTCAAGATAATTTAAGGATAAGTTTCGGCGTTAAGTGGCGAACCGTTTTGAATGCACTGATTTTGGCACTTAAAAATAGAAACACGGTAGCAGTGTTTACAAATAATGTAAAATAAAAAAAAAAATAAAAATCAAATAGAAATGTGCATAGACAACAACTAAAATAATAGATGAAATAACGCGGCAAACCAAACCATTATACACCGGAAGAAGATTTTTTACGAATATTAAAATCGTTAAATTATCGCTGTCTTATTTACGATCCGAATGTCGTTATAATGAGTGTAGAATATAGCGAATATCGTTCAAATTATCACTAAGTCATTTCAACGGGCCGAAAATCGTACAATACTATAGATTTCTTTTATAGAAGTAGGCTAAGCTCCTACTTATCCAGACTCGACCATGATAAATTTATTGACAGCATGTCAAAAAAGCACCTTTCGTGGACCTCCCACTAGATGACCTCGGTGTCATTAAATTTATCAAACCTGTACCTAAGCGGGGTTAGCGAACCGCTACAACACCAACATAAGTAGATCAAGATTGTACAAATTTTGATTGAATGTGTTGCTTTAATGAAATTTTTTGTCGCATTTCACAAGCTGGTACTTACATCATCACATCATCAACGCCATTCAATATTTTATTAAATTTTGCTAGTTTCATTTTACCTCGTTCTCAATTGCCATATGAATTACGACCAAATCGATGCCACCTCTAATTCTTATCGAAATTTTACCTCTGTCGAGGTAACAAAATTTACCTAGGTATTAAAATTTACCATTCAGCAAATTTTGTTACCATTTCGTATTCTGAGTTCACTGTTACCCTGTAAATTTTGTTACCAGCGAAATAGGAGGTAACACACAATCTGATGTTTGATTTTGTGTTTTAAGTTTGAGAAAAAACAAAAAACCAAAATGGGTAGGCATATTTTAGGCCTGAAATTCATTGAAGATGAAGAAACAAGTGTAGCCGTATTTTAAGAAGTTTTCGAGACAAAAAATAGCCCTTTAATTTGTAATGTAAACCTTACATTTATTTTCTTTTAACTTTATCAACTGGAAAAAAGCAGTGCTGCCAAATTTTTCTCAAACATTGTAACCAGTTCGCCAGAATACCAAATTCAATTTCGGGTGTTAAAGAAAAGTAACATAATTTATTTTGCCGGTAACAGTGAGTATAGGCCTGTAACACACAAGCATGGGAACCAAAGACTATTTGTCTACTAGAGAAGAAAAAAAATATAAATTATTCAAGAAGCTGGCATTTACTAATTAGCAATTTAATTCAAAATTTTGTTAACTTCTACTAAAATAATTCATTCGTAATTGAGAGAGCGAAACACGTAAATGGGCTGTCGTGGAAATACCGTATAATTCAAGATGTCATGCAAAAGCCGTATTGTTGCGAAAATGCGAGGCGAATGTCAGATGAAAGAGAGAAGCCGATAACTAGTACGTTCTAGAAACGATAAAACAAGAACCTTCCATAGCGAACAATTCGATGCTTCTACGCTTTCGTCTGCGAGCAGCCGACTGCTATATAAAGGCGACACTCAGCTGCAAGTCAAGTTAGTGATAAAGTAAACTCGTTGGCGTTAACATCAGTAAAGTCGTAAAGTAAACACGTTGGAGAGTACATTTAAGTAGAGTGAATTGTGCAAGTTGATGATAGTGATTGTAAATAGTAGAGTGTATTGTAATTGTATTGTGAATTACGGAGTAAATAAAAGACATTAGATAAAATCTTTATAACGAGAGAAACTGCAAATTGAATTGGCGAGTTTTTATTTAACAATCCAGAGATCGTACCCGAAGGATCTAGAAAATAATCGAGGTTGATTTAGTAAAATCGTAACAATTT